GGTCTGGAGACTGAGAGGACGGACAAATCATTATCCTTTGGAAAGAAGGGAAGTGACTCAGGGTGTTCCATCAGCAGTCATGACAGGTAAGTACAGCACAATACAGATGCTTGGAAACACTCTGATATTTCAGGGAAGGCAATAAACGCAAAGCCCTGAGGGACTACAGAAGAGATGCTCATGTTAAAAGAAGAGAAGTGCCCTTGATTCCCAGGATCCTACCCTAGTTCAACAGACAGTGCTGAGCAGATGGGTCATCTTCAACAGATTGCCTCAAACAGGGGCCAGAGTCCTTCCCCACTCACGGACCTTCGAAGTGCTGAATGAAGAAGTATTAATGCTATTAGCTTATAAGGATGATGCAGCATCTTAAAATAAGTCTCATCCTCAAAAGATAATGACCAGGTCCAGAAAAATATTTTTAAAGTACACTATCTTTGGAGGAAGGTCACAAGTACTCAGAGAAAACAAGGACTTACTTACAGCAGAGAAAGTAAACTATGCACCCTGATGTAAAAATAAGATTTAATAACAAGAGGAATTCTCTTGTCTTATGTAAGGGTCAGAAGGGCAACGGTCTCTCGGAATCTCATGGCATATGGAACTGCAGTAATGAATGGTATTACAATGATAAATGGACTGACCTTTGGTTAATAACATACTGATCTTTCTGACAAACTCATTCAGATCTTGGAATACAAGCTTTTATGAGACAGAGACTTAACATTAAGGTGTGTGTTGTTTCTGTGGTGAGGGGGAGCCATACAAAAAGGTAGGTTACCTAAACACACAAGAAAAGGAAGCAAATGTTCCAGGAAAGGATAGCTGTTGAGACACAAATATGACGGACACTTAGAAGAGGAAGAATTAAGAGACCCTTTAATAAGATCTAGCTAACGTATAAACCAGAATGGTTCTATTCTTTGTGCCCAACAGGTTTCAAAGTCCTCACAGAGACAGAAATATTGCACGTGCCCTTGACGTGATGTGCAGAGTTAGAGGAGACATTCAGGATAGTCCTTGGTTCAGCATTTCTGCAGGAAGAAAGAAATCCCTAGAGATGGTTACAGATGTTCCCTCCTTCAACAGTTTGTGCTTCAGGAAGCTCATTTCAGCGCCCACCTCTAGCTGCTTTCTGCTTATGTTAGGATAGAAACCTGCAGCTTTCCCAGATCAAACTGCAGCTCTCCCAGTCCTACGGGCAGCTCTCAAGGTTGAGTTTATCTGAGATCTCTCAACCCTTGGAAGCTGGACAGGTTTTTAAATGTGTGTACAGATTTTAGGAAAAAAGTTACACTACAAAACTATTGTCTCGAAAAGAGGAAAGAGCTACAGAGAATGATTTCACAGTTTTGAAATATTTCGCCTGTTTTATGCGCCAGAATAAAACCAGGTCACAGAAGGAAAGAAAAATCACTGGTTCCAAGCTCAGATACAAAAATTAGTATGTTTTAATTGAGATAGCAAAACAGACAAAAGCTCAGCAATGATGCAAAAACCCCCTTGTGCATATGGAAAAGCTAAGACCTAACTGTTGTGTGGCTCCTGCAGCAAGGGCTCCCAACCCGAAGACACTGACAACACTGCGTGAGAGGTTTCCCATGAAAATATGGATATTGGTAGTCTAAAATTTAATAGAGAAAAACAATTCAGTTCCGATCTGCTAGGCTTCAAGCAAGTCAAGGGTACATTAAGCCCTTAGCTGTAATGTAAAATTAACTTATTTATGGAAGAATTTAAGTGCTACTTAAAGTACTGAAACCACTGTCTCTGTAGATAATATTTCAGAGGCTAACAGAAAGCAACACTTAAGAGACTCGTTGCCCCCCTTCCCTCACCCTCAATTTAAAAAAAAAAAAAAAAAATAATTAGAAAGCAAAGCAGCAGGCCAGTCACCTCAGTTTTCACAGCTTTCTACACCAGCCTGCAGAACTTTAAGAGGAATTACAGAGCAACATGGGCACGCACACAATGATTTATTGTATGTCTCACCTGCCTAGTGGCGCAGAGAACCAACAGGGATGCTGGATTATATAGTGCACAATTTTAATTCTCCCATCCAGTAAACAAGTACAGCCTGTACCAGTTTAATGGAAAGATCCTTTGCTGCTTGGGCGTGACGCCGCTTACATCAAATGTGATGGAAATTTTTGTTAAGATGAAGGGGGGGTCTGTTTGCCCATGAAAGGAGATGAAAAGACCTTCCACTGCAAAACAAAACCCAATACATAGGCACAGTTAAATTGAAAAGTGACTGCAGTACTAGAGCTTGAATCTGAACACCCCTGCCCACATGGCTTTGAGGCACTACTACCACAGGAAGGGTTCCCAGAGCAACGGCATGAGCCAGTTGCTTCATACCTCAGGTGAGAAGATCTTTTTGGGGAAAAAAAAAAACAAACCCACAAACTTTCCTTTGGAGAATGATGAAATCTAGGAAAATTATTCGATTGCTCTTAAAAGAGAAACTTTATACCAACTGGTTTGGAGTTTAAGGGAGATCTTCACTCATGAGGGTGAAGTTAAATGAGTGATCAACTTCAAGTACATGCTTAAATCTCTCTAAAACCCTTGAGGAATAATTGTGGCATCTCCTCTTACGCTGTTGGAAAACTGCTTCTTACGGGACCAAGCTGACTGGTGTCTCCAGCAATGATGACACCATACTGTACACAACAAATGTCTCTGAAATGAACCTTCTGCTTTTAAGAATTGCTCCTCTCCCCGGGAACTACTTTAAATCATTCTGTTCTACGTTTCAGCCACAGATTTCTAAGAAATGCCTCTACACTGCTGTTTTATTCAGCTTGTTCTCCTAAGGGGGTTCAACATACAGAACTTGCTTCTCCTGCAGCCTCCTTACGCATTTCAGAGGAAAAATAGAAAGACAGACATGAAGCACTTTTTCATTCTCTGAAAAGAATGGAAGTCATGCTCCCCACTGCTCTCTTCCCTGTGCCTGTTTCAAAGACAAAACCTCCACTTTTAAATCAAACTGATGAAAAAGGACATTTGATATCATAGTCTAGGAAAAGCTCCCATCGAAGTCAGCCAGGAACCTTTCCACAAATGTCAGGAAGAGTTGAAGCAGATTGCTACCAAACACCGAGAAACAGAATATAAACTCCACATTCTACCCTAAGTGGGTTTTCGGGGTTTATTATTCCATTTTTTTCAAATTTGAGCTGAGACTAGTATCTTCAATAGAAAGCACAGCTAACTTTTCCTCTTGTAGTACACATAACACAGTAAAGTCACATGCTGTTCATGCACCTCTCTGGCTCACTGGGATCTTGGGCTACATGCAGTGTTTCCAGCTTACCCCTAGGTAAGCGGACAGAGATCAGAGACCTGACATGCCACCAACTACTGCACCTGATCTAAGAGGAAACCTTACTTTGCTGCATATCAACGTCCTCGAAAATTAGAGCAGGTCTGAAGTAGGGCTGGATGGCAATTAGTAGTTTCTTAAGTAATTTCCTGGGCCAGTGAAGTTCCCCTTGCATGAAACTCCGATGGTTTATCATGTCATTGACATTAAGATACAGCCAAAATCACCGTCAAGTGAACAGAGTGGAATTCAGTGTTCTGCATTAATGAAATAAAAGCATTTTAACTTCTGAAAGTGAACAACAAATTCAGTCCCCTAACCAAGCCCTCCACATCTTGCAGGAGGCCACCACAAACACTCCCCAGATAATGATTCATCCTCCATTAAATCAGGTGGGCTCCTCCTTCTTAATCAGATCATTCTCCTGGATGCTCCGCTGCTCACTGACAAGTTCTGCATAGCTAATACACTGCCATCAACCAGCTCTTTATTCAAAACAGCTGAGCCAAATTTAGAAGAAAAAATTCTAACAAAATAATTACAATATTCAAAGCAGCTACAGTGACAGGAAAAGACACAAAAGTGAAGCCACCTAAGAAAAATGTTTACTCATTTACACTAATATTTAAACACACAAAGATTATACATTTGTGTCAGAAAAAGGAATTAGACTTATTACTGGAAAATGCACATCATACACTGTTTTAAGTCAAGTCCAAGTGCATGAGTCCTTCAAGGAACACAGTTAGATGGTCAGAGGAGAAATGGGGGAGTTGTGATTTTGCTTTCGTTCTGGGAGTTTTGGTTCTTTTTTTTTTTTTTTTTTTTTTTTTTTTTTTTTTTATTCCAAAGCAGACTTCTCTAGCATCACTTCATCCTGCCACAGAAAGCAGAGTTCTACTGCAAACTCAGTACTAGATGTGTGTTTTGCTGGATGAGCAAAATTAAATTTTATTTAAAGTACAGCACCATGAAATAACACTTCAGACTCATTTCCTTTAAAAAATGCTCCTGGTTGGATTTCAAACACTGGGAGAATATGGGCACTGAGGATTTGAGTTACAAAAAACCAACATTTTAATTAACTGCTTTATTGAAGACAGGGAATTCAACAAAAATTCCCATCAGTGTTCAGAAGCGTATTAAAAAGAATCTAAGTTTTATGCCTAAACTGATTAGTATCTGTTTCATAGTGGTACATAAGCAAAGAAATATTACATCTAGATTTCCCCCCCCAAATTCAAAGTTATGCCTTTGATTTACCCTCTCAAATTTATACTAGGCTGTTTCTTCCCAACAAAAAGAGCACAAGCCTTTGGTTTGCAGCTGGAACTGGCAGAACCAGTCCCAACTGGGAAGCAGTGGCTGCTTAAGCCCTACAGTTTAATCACTTGCAGGTAGGTACCCACACACTTGGGCTCAGTGCTTCTTTCCATAGGAATAGCCTATCCATGAGCCATTGTTTCCCCAGGTAGGTCAAAACAGAAGTTCTCTTAATATAAGGACAAACAGAGGCAAGTCATAAACTGAATATTTTATTACTTTTCCTCCACTGCTTCCTTATAAGCATACAGCAAACCTCAAATGTAAAACATCTAATTCTCCAGCAACACTCCACTCTTCCACATGAAGGCCTGTGTTAGCCTGCACTCATCTGCTGAAACGTTACTGACCTGTATCATGTAGAGCTGTGCGATTCGATATTCTTCCACACTCATCGGAAGAGGAATACGATATTCCTTTATGAGCATTTTGAATACAAAAATCTTTTGTCCGCTCAGAAATACAATCCAGAAGCCTTTAGTAAAGGCTCCTTAAATAAGCAAACACATTGAGGATCCCTGAAACAGAGTGAGAGAAAGGGGGGGGGGGACTGCAGAACATCCTATTAGAAAAAAAAAACAACAAACCCAGACAAACATTAATTTTTGTAATAGCTGTAAGCTTAATAGCTGAGACAAGAATCCCCTGGAGTACTACCAGACCCTTGGTATCAAATTGAACAGAATCTTAGAGAAGAATTTTTATTTGCTTCAGGGGTACCATCAAAGCTATTACCCTCCTGACCTTTGCCACCATATCAATCAGACTTTCATATGCAATAGCATCTCCATGGAGGAGATGTGACAAAAGCTCAAAATGAATAGGCAGACCTTCTGTTGCCAGACAATAAAGTATCTCTCCAGTGTCAGCAACACACCAGAGATGCATCCACTCAAAGGTATCAGGTTTTATCCTCTCACATCCATTCAGCAGCAAGAAAAAGCAATAATTAGACTTCCTTGGCCCTCCGTAAGACTGTGATGAAGAAAGTAATTTGGATTCTAACAATAAAGACAGCAGAAATGTACTTTTCTTCCCTGCTTTACTCTGTATTGCTGTCTTGTAGGATCCCTTCTCTTTCAACTCTGAAGCAGTCTACAGGCAAAATCCTCCTGCCACTTATGTTGATGCCAGACTCATTTTTACACTCCTGCTGCGTAAGAATACAGCCAAAGATAAACTGCAACATTAAAAAATCCCATCATACCCCACCTCTTGAGGCAATTTAATGGAATTATTACTTAAGAATACAGGGAATACAGCATTTACTACACCAAGGCTCAAAGCAGTAACTCTTCAAATAGTCTTAAGACTCCCTAAGGACTGTGGATAAAGACAATAGAATCACGTATGGAAGAAGGTGGGGGAGAAGAGGAAAAAAAAAAATGTTGCTGAGGAGGACACAAGAGGTTCACAAGCTTGAAGAGAGGACACAAGAGGTGAAGCTGTCCGCTATCAGGCCAAATCAGCCTCAGCAGGATCTAATGACCACTCTCCCAGCACACAAAGCACACAAAGCACTTCCCTCCTTCCTTCTCATCACCAAAACCAACCTTTCTGCTGTGCCTGCTTATTGGAAGTCTGCAGCTGCTGGAGTGAAAACAACCCCAAACCCTATGGGGGACACAACACACACACACACACGACATGACACACAACACACCAGAATAAAACCAACCAGTTTACTTAGTGGATTAAGCCATTAACCAGGAAATCACACCCCTAGCAACAGGTCTCAGCCCTACTCAGTATTTGCACAGCACTTCACCCACCTTTGACAAGGTTTAGAGAAATTAAAACACATGCCTATGGTCACAGAGCAACCAGGGACAAAATTCAGTGTTTATAATCCAAGTCTACTGATTTTGAATCTGCGTAGCACTCAAAGGCCACCCCAACGTCTCCATCTTGCACCGGAGCTGACCCACTGCCGAGTTTATACAAGCTCACTGCTCGCCACATCCCAGCCAAAGGCTTTGCTCGACCTGGGCACACGGCCCCCGTGCCACTGCTCTGTTAGTTTGCTTTCGTTCAATTGCTGTATTTCTAATTTGGCAGTAAAGCCAATCCATTCTGGACTGACCCTTCCGGAATTAACTATCCGTCTGGTGCTGCATCATCTAAACAATTTATTTTCAAATTAAATTCTCTGTTTCATTTTATTGCTGTCAGAGCAACCAGGGCAGGGGGAGAATAAAATGGAAAAAACCCACAACCTTGCCATAGCAAACCCTGTAGAGAATAATTCTGGGAAGACTGGCCTTCCCAACTGCCACGCCTATGCACAGAAGTGTGTGCATCCACATGCACCATGTAGGATTTCCTCCATCAAACTAATCCTCCAGAACAGGTGGAGATAATCTCAGTAGGTGGTTTTTAATTAGTGTCATGGCAAAGAACAACAGTAACCACCAGAGGATGGATCTCAAACACTGGCCCCAGATCTGCATTGGTATAATGCTACCATACCAACTCTTGGAGTGGGAGACTCAGCTGCATGTCTGGAGCAGTTCGTTATGCTTTAGAAATCTTTGAAAATCAGATTTAAAAGCTCACCCCCTCCCCCCCATTCCCCAAATGCTCTGAAAGCGATTCTGCTCCCACCATAAGGATATCAGTCACGTCTGCTGCTTGCTAAAGTCAGGATATTTCTATCGATTGGAAGAGATGAATAAAACAAAAAATAGAACCTTAAAAGCAATAAAATGGCAGGAAACCAGTACCAAGATGGAAAAAATGTGTTTATAATGAAGTGCCAGGCAGGTAATAATTCAGATGGCCAAGACACAAGAGGGTTTATTTTATTACAGACTAAAAATCCCAACCATTTCAGCCCCAAGCAGGCACAGCAGCAGCCACCAGCAGTGGCTGGGGTGTGGAGCATGTCTGGCCACAGCAGCAGCTCCTGGTCCATGTTCCTGCTTGGCTTTTACAAGAATTGAGGCTTGGCTGTAAAGTTCTCCTTCAGGTTTCTACTTCTCTGAAGTCAAGGTTTAAAAGCAGCGTTTTGGCTCAGCCTGCAGGTCTCCAGGCTGTAGCAGGTCCTGATCCTGTGCCTGTTGGAAAGGTGATGCTCCCAAAAACTCCTCCGGCAGCTGCCCAGTCCAGCTACTGCAACCAGTCCCCAAAAACTGGGTAGAAAACAACCCCTGAAACACACTGGGCAATAGCAGGGAACAAATTGCAACCTCAAACTGAGGGGGCCAGCAGGAAAAGGCACCTGGAATCAGCAGCCTGACCCTGAAGGAATCACAAAGAGAACAAACCTGACTAGTTTAAAAAAAGGTAAAGAAGTTAGACTGATTAAAGAAAAAATTATCAAGGTAAGTTTGCAGCTTGGGCTGCCTTTGAGCTGAAAATAACCTGCCCTAACCCTTCTAAGAGCAGCGGAGCTCAAATGGCAAACCATCAAAAATAAACATGGGTTTTCGCCAGAATCAGATCTTGGGGAACACCATGCCAGGTGGGACAGAGGTGACAAAATTGCACTTTCAGACAACTCACTGAGGGCAGCGGCCTCCTTCCAAAGTCTTGGGACTCCATAGAGAAGCAAAGCTCACCAAGACTGCTTACTGAATTGCTCAAACAAAACACAGAAGTTTGTCTGCAGGCTGCTGCGGAGAGAAGAGAAAGCCCTTCTGGAAGCAAGGGAGCCACGACACAGCTTTGGAAAAAGGGTGTCAAAACACCAGCTGTGTCCCTGGCACTTGCCCGCATCCAGCCCGTTGCTACAAGCAGCCAGAGGTGGTTGAATGGAGATGCTCAACGTGCCGGGACTAGCAAGCAGCCAGTGTTTTGATGAAAGGCTGGATTTCGGTTGTCCAGCACCAAGCTGGACTTTCTATGGCTTTGCCAAACCACTGCAGCCACACAACCGGGACCAGTGGCAGCCCAAGGCTGTTTGCAAAACTCAGCTTGCAGCCGGCTTCTCTCAGCAAGAGGAAAACAATGGTGACGCAGGACATTTCCAGACTCACTGCTATTTCTGCTCTAGCCAAGTGGCACATTTGTACAGGACGTTATTCAATTTATACACAGAGCTGTAGTAACTGTGAAAGCCAGGCGCATAATTTTATACCTCAATTATTTTAAAATCATGTTCTCAAAGAATCATAATTACGCTCCAGAGTCAATATCCTGCTGTGATGAGTCAGGTCCACCTCTGAGCTACTGCTTCGGGCTGTCTGAAGCCTAATGCACAGCGAGCTGCATTTACTTCTGATTTTAACGGCTTCCCTTGCAACAAAAACAAACTTTTTTAGGAACTGCCCTTTCTTTAAACTAGGGGGGACTATCGGGATCTGCAGAAGCTGAACGATCAAGGGACCCAGCAAAATCTCTCCATTTAGCCCATGAACTTGGCGTGCGGGGTTGTCACTTCAGGAGCATCGGGACCAGCCGCCCTGTTACCAAACAAGGTAGCAGAGGACGGATCACAGCTGACAGCTTGTAATTAAGGAATAAGAGTTAGTGCATAAAGGGTGTTTAAACTGTACTGCTGGAGTCCTGGAGGCCAAATCCTGGCCAGACTTCACAGGCTGGCCCCGAAGGGTATGGAAACTGAGTATTCCAGCAAAAATCCTGGTTCCTCAACATGTCAGTTGGGTCCAGTGCAAGAGAACTACTCACACCAGTGGGTTCAGGCTACTAAAGGGCTGTAACTGCCCTGTTCCCAGCTGTGCTGTTCTAGCTGTCACCTCAACAATTAATTTTTGACCAGCTCATGTTTTCTGGATCCAGGCTGCTGAGCACAGGCTTTTTAGGACTGCAATGAACTACATCATGGCAGCAACAACCCGCCCCATGCCAGGGCTGCTATTTCCCATTTTCAACGGGGAATAAAGAGACCTAGACTCAGAGAGCAACTATTATGAGCTTTTTCTAGCCTCACACAGGAGGTTCATTTTACACTACAATAATGTTAAAAGACTCACCCTAGGAAAGAAAAACCCATCACAGAGGGTTGCAGAGCAGCCAGTAGCAGAGGCAGGTACCAGCCCCAGGTCTCACGTTCTAATCAACCACTGTCTGTTCAGGGCTGTGCTGCCTTTTGAAGTTGAGAAAAATTTCTCCTATGAAAGATCACACTTGTGAGCTAAAGATCAATACCTTGACTCAGCTACTGAACAATTCTCCTTGCAATATTTTCACATAAATGAGAAATGAAAGATAATGAACAAATACGACTGTAAGAAAATCAAGCCAAACATTTAATGGCAAGAGTATGAGCAAAGGCATTACCTGGAGACCTCACCTACCTCCCTAAAGACTTTCTTTGGGTTCTCTACATCTCCTTTATCCTCCAAGAAGACGGCTTCCTGAAGAAAGCAATATCAAAGAGATGTTAGCATTGGCCCCAAGTGTATCAAACACTTGGACTTTGGGAAGCCACAGCAGGCTTAGCAGCCTGGCTACCTTCTCTCTCCAGCATAGTTCCCTGAAGGAGTATACAGTGCCCTCCCACGACTGAAAACACTGAATACATATCGCTCTTGGATTTATTTATGCCGTTATAAGA